AAATTAGAGAAAAAAAAAGTTAAAGCAATTGCTACATGTTCAGTTGAGGCTGCTATTGAGTTTTCTACAATAGCTGTTGTTCAGAAACAGAGTTTTTACTTTCATAATAATTATATTTATATCACAGTGTTTTCACCAAGTGAGCTCTGACTATTTTATAATAGCAAATTTAAGGCACAGAAGAGGCAAAAAGATTTATCAGAGGGCATATAGGTCAGTGACAGCTTCAAGGATAGAATTCAGATCTTCAGTCTGTGGCCCATTGTCCTACTTACCCCATCACACCACCTTCTCAGGTTAATAATAGCTAATACCATGGATTTACAGATTAATTCTCACAGACACCTGTAAAATAAGCAGGTATCAATCCCCTTTTAGAGAGAAGAAAACACAAAGTGCTAAATTCTTTAGCACTCTATATACCTTGTGCAATCCCATTACTACTGTATTGATACCCAACATAAATTCAGATAAAGAAACACACAGCATTTTTAGCGTACAACTCTGTATTCTGAGCTACATAAATCAAGAGATTTGTCTAAAGACAGGGAGCAAGGCTGTAGTATAATGGGGATGGAAATGCATGACTGCTTAATTCACACTCATGCTTAACCCATCTCTTTATCTGCATAACCTCAACTCCTTAAAATTACATGGGACACTGGATCAAGACATAGGATGAAGCAAAATAGCCTCAGAAAAATTTCCCATTTTTTATTTCCAACTTTCTAACATGGAGCTTTAGGAAAGCACTTCCAAAATATATTTTTTACAATCTACTTCTTTGCACTGGCATATTTAATTATCTTCTTGTGTTCAGATTACTCTAGAGTACAGCAGAGAAGGAGGTAACTCTGACATTTATTATAATGGGTTTTGAATATTGCTCTTAGTTATTATTTTAATTTTCTGAAAGATCTTTAAGGTTTATAGCAAAGTAGAAATAGCATTGGCTCACAAAAGAATTACACACAAAAATCTATATAACATCATGAAACAATTGAAGAATTGTATTTCTACCTGAAAATTTTCTTCCATGTAGGTGGTTAAAAAAAAAAAAAAAAAAGGAAAAAAAAAAGAAGGACATAAAGAATGAGAGGTCTGTAAAATATAAACCCTACTAGCCTCGAGTAACTGAAATTGTGAGTACTTATGTTCTTGGTCACACTGAGAAGATATTTAAATTCCTAAGTAGAGTGGCTGTCTGACTCCACAGTGCTACAATAGTTCTTACACACCATAGTGACAACAGCTACATGACATCATTCTTAGCATTGTAATTAAATGATGTAAGCTTCCTAAACATTGACTTATATGTCTGTAAAAATGAGATGACTGAAGTGTCATATATTTAGCATTTATATACATTTTAAATAAGCATGTCACCCAAACAGCAAGTGGTTTTCATGAACAGAAGTAAAAACCACTACCAAGAACAATTAAATAATTTAGCAGGTCACAGCTACCAAAACAGATAAACCCAATGAATTTATGTACAATGCAGGGACAATTAATAAGTAATCACTAAGTCGAGTAACTTGAATAAAATGGTTCAGGTGGACCTCGATTTTAACGTGACCCAGGCTGGTTTTAGTACTCCAGGCTTTGCAGCCACAGGGCTTTGGTATGAGTGAGTGGGGCAGGCTCAGCCCCTCAGGGGGGTGGGTGCTGCAGAGAGGTGCTCCCTCCACCTCAAGTCCAAGCCACTCTGAACTGAGCATCAGATGCTGCCACGGGACTGATCTGGAAACAGAGATCGAGCCACAAAGTTCCAAGTTCATTGTTCACCTTGCACCACCTCCTCTTTCACTATGGCCTGCAGTTTCTAGCAATACTGTTCCCACTGCAAACTGCAGTGTGAAACAGTGCAAGTGTGCACCCCAAACCTTAACGTCGTAGCTTCGGAGCTATACCTGGGCTCAGCAATTTCATCACTGCCTGTGTTTCCTATGTTTATCTGTCTTCTTTCATCCTGCATCTGCTCTCAAGAGTGCTCTACCATTCACATGCCCTTCCTTCACCAGCAGACACACAGAGCTATGCCAGCACAGCCATACAACCTGCAGATTTTGAAAACTGCACATTTTATTGTAGTTCTTCCTTCCCTTTGAAACAGGGCTCGACTCCTGTCTAATCGATGCCAACGTAAGGGCTACATTCGTATGCTTTGTGTGTCTCTAGCAACATGCAGAACCTGACCCTGCTTCTCTCCAGCCTTCAAGCACAATCTTCACTTTGCCCCCAGCTACTGTTACGAAGTAGATTTCTGCCATTTTGACTAAAACTAGTTCAGTTATTTTCCATAGGCTGAATGGAGGCTGCACAGCAAGTTGCAGTACCTGGTAATGCTCACTTAAATAACAGCATACATAAAAAGTCAATTTTCAGATGTAGCAACCAATTGTTATCCCATATCTTTATCAATCTCTTGTTCAAAGTTCTGGTCACTAAACAGTATTTCTAAAACCAGCAATAAAGCTGCACAGCAATACTCACCTCAAAAGCATTCAAAGCACAACATACAGCACAAAGACTATGAGATTTCCAACTAAAATTATATTATATGCGAGATTTTAAATTATTTAGAATAGCATAACTTAAAATTTGGCTTCTATCAAGAACAAGCATAGCTTTAGTAAATGTAAGGGCATGATGATTTTTTTTAAAATCTAAATAGGAGTTTTTTTAAATGCTTATAAAAATGAATAATTTGCCATATGAGTATAAATATGTATCAAGGGCATACAATATAGAGGAAAAATTATTTCAGCTCCTTTTTAATTTAATTGCAACATTTTTTCTAAATGCTTCAAATGAATTCTATTTTAAGATACACAAACTACCTCACTGCTTAATAACCAGATTCTTGTTCTAGTCCAAAACTAGTTCTTTGAACAGCATGCACTTGTAACAGATTTCTTCCCTTTCTTTGTTTTTGTGATTCTTTTTAAAACAAGATTCTAGTCTTCCCAAATGTTCACATTACCAATGCATAGAACTGTACAAAATTAATCCCTGCATGCCCCCTAGAAACAACACAATAACAGATCACACTGAAATTCTGCAAGTATCTGGGGACCTTGGGAAATAAAAGTCACGTAACTGCTGTAAATGCTTAGGCCCAGCTATGTTACAAGCATATTTGACAAAAAAATTAAACTAAATGCTTCATCAGCATAGATTACTGGAAGAATATTAAAATTTAAAACAAAGTCTGAGACACTGTGATGATCATTCAAATTCTCTTTCATGCACTCAGGTCTGGGCTTATACTCTTCTCACTTGTAATGCTCATGCCCATACAGTTCTGATGAACTTTTAAGGGAGACTAGGAGAGGAATCATTTGCACTTTTTTTTTTTCCTAATGAGTACAGAAAAACCAGGAAGCAATAAGATTAGCTCCTATTTTCCCAGACTACTTACTTTCCACCATTAATAATCCTGCCCCATTTAAACTTCAAAATACCCAAAGTAATTAAGCTATGTTATGCTTGCCAATTTAGAGAGGCACTTGGGAGTAATATGCATGTTAATCAGGAACATTAGCTGCCAGAATATATGAATTCTACTTCTCATTACTCTATCTTTATTACTGTCATTTTAGAATTGTTTTTCAGTTTGGGGAAAAAACTACCCCCCACCCCCAAACAGAAATTCCTCCCTGAGAATACTTATGCTGAGCTACAACACTCATTTGTTTTACGGATGAGATGAATCCTTCCATAATCACCAGTTATTAAATGGCTTCTTGCTATCAGGGAACAAACAAAGATGTAGGACATCATAATTTCAATTGCCTAGCAACAACTCTTCTAACATCATATTTTCACAAGTGGTTGGAGCCTTTTCTAGTACGACAGAATTGCTGGAGCACAAGGACTGTCAGCGATGAGAATCAGCTCTGCCCTTCTCGATGGCTATCTCTGCTTTTCTTACCATCAGAGGAATTTCCATACAAGTAAAATCCTCATTTCTACTCATAAGAAAGTCAAATGATTCATACATGGTATTCTGAGTCCTTACTCACTAGAGGCTCAGTCTGGTAACGTGCAAAATGAAGAAAAGATGACACACACAGTTTTAGTCATGCCAGATCTACCACAATACAGCAAACTTGGGTTAAAATGTACCAGACTTACACTGTAAGAGACTTTCCTCACCCAAGATCAGCAGGTTTCTTGAGCCAATCCTCTTTTATTCTATAGACTGTAATACTGAAAACTCCGGGCCATGAAAACAAGCACAAAAGCACTGTGTAGACCTTAAAATACACACGAGATCATCCAGTGCATTCTCACCCCATACAATGAAGGTTTGCAATTAGCGCAGTGAAAGAGACACCAAGTTCTCTCTCTTAGGCTACATTATTTAGACTTATTAAATCTATTGGCAACAAGCAACCACTCAAGTTTTAGTAAAGATTATCTGTTATTTTTCTCTTTAAAATACCTTTACTAGATTTTATGGCATTTTAGAAGGCAGACACTTCGTTCAGAAAAAGAATTTCAAGTAATTCTGTTTCATTATCAAAAAGGTACCAGAAGTTTAAATATATTAATACTATTTATCATGCAATGTAGTTTTGGACTGTCTTTCAATTTTGAAGGCTGATAACCCAGAATTTTATCAGAAAGGTTGGTGTTTTCATTTAGATAGTAAAATGTGGCATAGTCCAGTAAACCCTGATTTCTCAAAACGCATCTTCACAGTTTTATTATTCAGTTTGTTAATAAATCAAATCTTATTTACAGATTCACTCTGTCTGTGTATCTTACTTTAGATATATGCATACCAACACACACTCATACACATGCTGCTTCTTTCCACTTAAGAATCAGTACTATTTACACACATAAGAATTCAAAGAAAGAGATCAACACAGCCTAATCACAACCAGTTCTAATAACACGTGGCGCATTAAAACCTCTTCTGTTATAACTCGGTTGTTCTCAACAATGTACAGATATCATATGTTGTAAAAAGAAAATTTAAAATTCACCTTTCAAAAGCTGATTCAGGTCCATGGCATCATGTAAGACTTTTCGACCATATCTGTGCTCAAACTCGGAATCTAATGAAAAAAACAGAGATATAAGATTGGATTTCCCAGCCCCATCAGTTTTACAAATTTTGTGTTGTGCTTATATTCTCCAAAATTACCATATAATTCTTGATTCACATTTTCCTGTCTTTTTATTTTTAGTTTCTTATCATTTGATGCTGCAAGTTCAAAAGACTGGATAGGACTGATGTCTGGAGTTGACAGGGGTGTTACATCAGTCACTGTGTCTTCAGACTCCTCCAAATAATCACCAAGCTTTGGTTTTCCTTCTGCTAATTTCATTGCTGACTTGAATTTTTGTTTTGGAGACAGAAAAGCATTCTTACAGGCATTCCTCTTTGAGGAGGAATAAGATGAATCTGATAAACAGCTATCGGAATCTGTATCAGAACAATCTGTATCTGAGCTTGAGGATGAAGATGAGGAGGATGAGGAGGAGGAAGAAGAGGAGGAGGAGCTGATACTAGTATATTTTTTGCTGGCCTTTTTTATGTTGTTTGACTGCTTAGCTGACTTTGGTCTAACCTTCTGTTTTTTGCCATCATCACTACTATCTTCTTCGTCAGTGTAATAATCGTCTTCACCTTCTTTAACTATTTTGGGGATTCCAGCAGGAACAGTCTCCTGTGTTCCCCTACTGGCTGCAGATGTCACTCCAGAGGTACCTGCATTCTCTGCAACTGGAGAAAGCAACAAAGATGAAGCATCTCCAGGATGATCTGTGCTATTTTCTAGGGACTGATCCTTCTGCAAATCTTTCTGCTTTTCTTCACTTTCCTCCTCACAACACTTTGCATCCTTTGAATTAGAAACTAAATCAGGGTCTGCATGAGCTGCCTTTGTACTTCCTTTCCCTATACATTCACCATTTTCTTCAGCTCTCGTTTTCTCTTCTTCAAATTCACTGTCAAAGAAAGCATGATCTACTTCACCATCTGATGCATCTTCAAACTGGTCCATACTGAAATATGAAGAGCCACCTGCAACCATCAGAAAATGTTCCAAAGGTTAGCATAAAACCAGATCCAAGTACACTTTAAGTATAACAGTTTTGTTCTTTACTCTTTTAGCTCTAGTAATTTATAATTGTGCAATTAATTATGTTATGTTGCTAGGGACAACTCCATAGTGAGTTCTATGAAGAAATTTAGTGCCACCTCATTGTACACAGCTCAAGTTAGACAGAAAAGTTTTACTTTAAACCAACAAAACCCATCACAATTTCAAAACTTTCACTCCTAAGGAAATTAGTCAAACACTGTTAGCAACTAAGAGTCTCAACTACAAGCAATTTAAGTGTCTTCTTTTGTGCCTTTAAGCTAGAGCCACTAATGAGCTATCATTAGTTTGGGTTTTACATTAAGAACCTTATTTGCTTGTGGTGGTCATCATCTTGGCTGACAGCCATTCAAACTGCTGAATTTCAGCACTTAGAATAGGAGCAATTTCAATTTACATCAGAAGATCCATGGCTCTATAGGTTAAATTCTAATAGACGTAGGGTATGCCAGTGTTAATGTTTTAGTTTGGATCAGGAGCCTGCTTTTCTTGACAGTCCCCACTAACTCATAAGGCACAGTACAGTGAACAAACTCGATTCTTTGAGAAGAAACTAACATTTAAAGTGTGCTCTACACACCAAACTAGTGCACTTAAACCAGCAGACACCATTCAGTCCATGGGACCAGATCATGGCTAGCCCAAATACATATACTGTGGATATCAGGTTGTCAGCACTAACCATTATGATCTACAGATCTGCTCCTATTGCATCATACCTCTTGCAGAAATATATGGTGTTAGAGCCTATATATGTGGCAGGCAGAATATGAAAGTTCCCACTCATTAGTAGGATATACCCAGTCAAAATAAAAAAACCCAAACACCCCACAACCAAACAAAATTAGCCAGTATCAAAGACGACTGTTCCCATCTAGTCAGCAGGACCTTTCTCCTACTATTTACAACAAACTTTATATAAATTGTGTAAGCTGCAATCAATAAATATCAAACATTCCTTAGAGCCAAGGAAACAAAAAAACAGACAGTGGAAGAAACTATACAAAGCAGAAGAACCAGAATATTTTACAAGATGGACAGTCTCTCTTAAACAACATATAGTTTGTAGCCATGGCAAACAAACGTGAAAAAGGAATTCCTCAATCTGCTTTGAAACGGCAAGATTATCCCAAGAAAGCTTGTAGCTAAAATTACCTCAAGATACGGAATATTTAAAGGTCTATGTCACTCAGTTTTCTTGCCACTTCTCAAATACTACTCAGTTTTAGAGGAATTTGAAATATGCACCCCAAATACAAAAAGCACAACATAAACTTTAAAAGCAGAAGGTGTGGAATGTCCTGGGGTTTTAAGATTCACAAAGCCAAAGAAATGAAAAGAGACTTAATAAGGTTAGATGTTGTATAAAGCTGAAAATGCTATTAAACAACAGAAGCAGAAGTCAACTTTGGTACCACGAAGAGAAACTCTTTAAAGCACCTAGCTCCTCCAAGAGCAGCAGAACAAAGCAGTAAAACACCCGGGAACTCTTAATTTGAAACACTACACGGAATTTGGAAATTTTTCATATTCATGTCTCGGGCAATTTGCATAGTCTGCAATACCCAACTGTCATCAAGTTTTCCCAGAGCAGCTTCCTAAAAAGATAATGCATTTTAATATATCAAAACATGCACAATAGAAAAAAAAAAATTCAGAAGAGTACCACATTATTTACATTTAATTTTCTACCTCATGTAACCTAAACCAGAAGAGAACCAATTAGATATTTTTGGCATTACCTGCAGACCATATATCATGGATTATTTACTTAGCAAGTACAACTTGGGCAAAATCAATTCTATGAAGAAAATTAGTATAGGAAGTACAGTGTTAAAATTAGAACAAAAACCTTTCTTCTCCACGATGCAAAGTTTTTATTGCTTAAGGCACTAGCATCTCACCAGTTTATAGCTTCAGACAGATCACAACTAATTGGTAAAAGTAGGCATGTGGTGTATTTCACTTGTCTCAAACACATAGATTTGATATACTGTTAACACTGCTGTACATGTGAGAGCATAAGGGGATAAGGCAAAAAACAGGTTTGCAAGTGGAGGTAGACTAACCAGTACAGCTTGAAATATAATATTTTGTTGAGTGTAATACACACATCCATGTATATTTAGTTTATGTAATGTCACTCCTGCAATGGAGCCTAAACTAACAGTATCTCATCAGCTATAAGATAATACGTGGTCATGCCACAACTTCTCAGATGTCTCTTTTCTGAACACATCTCTTAAGTGGGGATGGGATTTAACTCAAGACAGTGGCAAAAGGGCAGCACAGAGGTGGCAAAAGGTGATAAAAGATAGCAAGGAGCCTGTACATTCTTTTCCACCATTAGCACCAGCCAGGGAGCACACATCTTCCCACTCTGCATGACTCAGGAGTGGCTTACCTGCCAGTGGGCTGTCTTCCACAAAGACTGAGCCATAACTGATTCATGGACAGCAGCCACCACTACAGGAGGAATGCAGTTGAGCTGTGTGACTCTGCCCAAGGAGCAGCAGTTGTAACACCCGTCATTTCATTGCCAAAGGCTCCTTCCACTTTTCTGACACAACCCCCTAATGACTTTAGCCTTCCTCTTAATAGAAAACAGACATGCTGTGTTGGTCAGTTTCTCTCACTGACACTCTTAATCATTCACAAACTAAACAATAATTAATTTTGTAGTTTCCATTAAAAGCAAACAAGAGGAAACAGGCGAAGAGATGGCATTCTTGGTTCCTATTCCCCTCATGCATCTAGAATGTCTTCAAGGGAGCTGGAGTTTGCCAAGAAGAAGCAATGCCAAAGCAGCAAGTTTGCTGATAAACCATGCCTAAATTAATAAATTGGCTCTGTGTGCACACACACACACTCTCATGCTCTTTTATATTCAGGGCAGAATGTAATTTTATTTCTGAGAAGTGCAGAGTTCTGCTACGTTATCAATTGTTAAAATACAGAATCAACAAGTGATATTCAGAAATCCCAAGAAAACCATCATTAGAGTCAAATACCTTTCATTAACTGCTAATTCTAATTACCATCATATTTATTTACAAAAAATATATGCTTTCCATGGCTTTCTGACATGAAACTCTCTAACTCAAATATGAGCAATTCAAATGAGCAAGTTGGCCATTAATTATTTGTCAGATCTTTTATTACTTTTTTTTTTCTCTCCCCTTATTTCTTGTAACTGTAACACCCACCCATTACACAAGCCAAGCACACTCATTTGTCTTTGTCTCTTCTCACTGCAGTTCCTTCTAGTTTATACCACTTTTTAATCCCTTTACCTGTAAACACCAAGCTTGACCCATTTAAGATCGGAAAGCATTGGCCAAGCAGCCAAGGAGAACATGCAGTCTGGCTGTCAGGGCAGCAGGGACCCCCCCACTTTCGCATCAAGAGGCTGATGCACCGAGAACCTGACTACCTACCAAGACTGCACCCACATTCTCGCCGGCCCACCGCTGCAAGAGCAAAGACACCGAGCCCCTGCACAGGCCAACCACTGCCTGCTGCTGCTGTGCTGCCCAAAGGACAAGCAGCATTTTCACATCCTCCTGCACGTTAAATGAAGATCAACAACTTATTCATGCTAAATGTATCGAGTGTTTTTCCCTGCCAGCTGCAAACCTGCCAACTACAGCACCACCTGAAATACCTTTGTAGGTAATGCCCAATACCAAGCCTTTAGGCATGACTGCAATAGAAAGTATCTTATACAAAGGTAGGATAGCACATAAAAAGTGATATAGTGAGGATACAGATTTAGATGTGGTTTTGTGTTTGAACAAACACTACCTTTTGGTAACATTTTTGATTGTTCGCAATTAACACTTATGATGTACACTAAATACCTAGTGAAAGATTCTGAGTATTTTAACCTCGGTTAAACCTCGAAGTTACCCAATCAATCTTTCACTTTTTTAAATGCAGACCATCTGAAATACATGCAGAGATTACTGAAATAAATCACAGAAAAGAAGAAAAAAACTCAACATTAAAATACAAGCAGTAATCAACTTTCTTTTCTTTTAAGCATTCTACTTTCATAATCAGATGGTACTTTCATAAGAGGAAGGTTGATACAGAGAGGACACTTGGGTTTGTTTTTTCTTTCTCCCTATAACATACTAATTCCTAGCACACAGAACACCACACTCCATGGATTTGTATGCAGGATATATCCTCTGCAGGCCATAAGTGCTTTCAGGACATGTTAATATTCTGGTATGTAAAAAAGTGTAAAACAAGCCCCTTTAAGCACACTGTGGGCTTCATAAGAAATTTCTGATGTTACTGTATGGATACTGTGCATCATCACAAAGGCCCTAACACAGTACAGCTGTATTACTAGTACACTGAAGTGTAGTAGTACACTGAAGATGAGTCAACAATATGTTTCCTGCAACAAAAAGGAACAGACATCATCTTGGGATGTATTAACAAACATATATGTAAAGTATCAGAAGCAATAATAATGTTGTATTTGGCTCCAGTAGCACCACTTTCTGGTTTAGGGTTATTAATTTGGCTTTGAAAGTATAACTGATACTGAAAGAAGTAACCAACCAGGTAATGTTCTCCCGGCCCATACCATCAGCGCTCCCACAGATGGTACCTCTCCTTTCTGCTGGAAATTTCTGCCTCTTCAGAATAAGGACCCACCCTCCTGATCTCCAAGAGCAGAAACCAGTGTTTGAGAGCTAAGGAGTTGGAAGGTTAAAGTGTTTTAGAAGATGTATACTATCAATGGCAGATGTTCTTTAGGACACTCCAAAATCCTCTGACTCCATTTGCTCATTATCACCACCCTGTCAGGGATCCTGCCCCCTTATACCTGCTGACTGACAAATCACCTCTCTGTATGGTGAACTTGGGAAAGGGTGAAAATACTAAACATATCATCTAACATTT